CAGGGATTGAACTCTGGATCTTGTGCCACTGAGCTAAATCCCTTGCCCTATTCTTAAAAATAATAATAATAATAATAATAATAATAATAATAATAATAATTTTTTTTTTGGGGGGGATACAGGGTTTCACTATGTAGTTCAGACTGGCCCTAACTCACTATGTATCCCAGACTGCCCTCAAATTCATCCTCCTGCCTCAGCCTCCTGAGTGCTGGGATTACAGTTTTGTGCCCTCAAACCCATGGGGGTCATTCTTATTTTAACCCCGACACATATATAACCACTGAATAGTTCATCATCACTGCATTCTTAGCCTCTGCCTAAGTGTGCTTAATCGCTGCATACTTTACTAGTACGAAGTTAGCTAGTAAACACGTAGCAAAGGTAATCATTGTACTTAACCACTGAACGTATAACCACAGTATGTGCAAGCATTGCCTGCTTAACCCCTGCACACATAACTGTGGTGTACTTCTGCCCCTCTGTGATGCACACCCAGAGAAACTAGTCCAGGGGAAAGAAGTAGAGGAAATGTATATCTGTCTGGGAAAAGGCACTCAGGAATTACTGAGGAGCTGATTAATTACCTCACATACTTCAAATCCGTCCAAATTTAACGTTCTTCTCAGTTTTACTTAGAAACTTAAAGCTGATTCTAGGATAGCGGGTCTCAGACGGTGCTCCCCTGGGACCATGGGTTCCACACATTAAGAGTACTTGACTGAAACAGTAGGATATCTTTCTTCACTTTACAAGAAATCATTTTTTAAATGTTTTTTTAAAAATTTTGTTCTTAAGTATTTCTCCCTTAAATTTTTTCCTCTCCAATCCCAGGCAGCTGTTACACTGGGAAATTTTCATATGAAACACGATGGTTTAACAAGTGGTTAGATTATTTCACTCATTCATCCTTCAATTTGGTCACTTGACAGATATTTATTAGACTCTTGGTCGCTGTTAAGCACTCTTTGGAGAAAAAATTTGGAAGTGGCTCACCACATTTATGTAAAGCAGCCTGTATGCTTCCTGGATATGCACGCTGTTCTTTTTGGAAGTGGGATTAAGTAGCTAGTTACTTCATTCCTATGATACTTATTTTTACCCTGCTAAAAGTGACTCTAATGGAAATATTATATATGTATATGTATATATAAGTATATATATGAGACCTTAACATATATTTTAATCACTTTATCATTCTCCTGCTAATCCTACTGACCCAAATTCTTCTATTACAATTAAATATGGAAGTATTTTATGATGGTCTATAAGGAGTTGGGTAATTTCTAGCTTTGGCCACACAAACAAGTTTGAGACAGCAGCTGGCTTTCTGAGAAAGCTTTCAGGGCACAAACCTCTAGGTTTCATTCTCAGCTTAGGTAATTCCTAATTTTGTGGCCCTAGACAAGTCGATTCAACTTTCTGACCTCTGTCTTCTTCATCTTTAAGATGAGACAATAAAATGCCACCCTCAAGAATTTTTTTTGTGACTAACAAAACACATAACACTCTTTACAGATAATGCATAAATGCTAGTTTTGTTGCTGCTAAAACAATGATAATAATATTATTACTTATATGTTTTCCCAGTAAGCTTCCATTGGATAGGCATGTTTCAGTTCCCAAGCAGTTTTTCATCCAAAACCATCTCTTTTTGCTATGGGGTAGTGTTTTTAAAAATATCCCTGGAGCCTGCCTCAATTATAAAAGAAGATAACTTGACTTCATTTAACTACAGCCTGAACATTTGAATTTAATTGAAGGGGAATAATTATTCCTCAACGTGGAGGTTTTTGAGGCTCCATGAGATGATATAAGATATATATCTCGTTACATTAGACCTCAGCAAATATACTTTAAATAATCAGCTGCTATTTAACATACTTTCCGCCTCCTATTAAATTTCCAGCAGGATGCACAGACAGGATGGATCTGGGAGGGAAGGGGCCAAACTGCCAATTAATTATTTAAAAAGTGATTTATTTACCAAGGTGAGCCATTTGCAAATTCAATAATAAATCTATTAAGGAGTAGTTAACCTCTATAACTCTGTTTTAAATAATCAATTGGTGTTTGGGTAACGTACAGCGTCCTTCTCATTAGGTTGGCATTAAGCCTTTATTTGAGGCACTCAATCAGAAGTGTGACCGAGTCAGCCATGAGGTGGTAATTAGGTATTCGCTATGGGGCCTTAATCCTCCAGGGACCTGGGTCCTTCCCCTTCCCTGGCTGCCCTGACAGGGGTAGGAGAACCTCGGGTCCTCTGATGACACACCTGTCACTTCCCACAGTGCCTCCCGTGAGCGAGACTTGACGCCACCGCCTTCCTCCAGGGGGAAGAAGAAAAAGAAAAAGTCAACCCGGAAGAAGAGAAGGAGGTGAGCTCAGAAGAGGGGATGAAGCCTTAAAGGAGGGAAAGAGGCAGAAGAGGGACACATAATATGGGTTTTGGAATCCAACAGTGACTCTGCCTTTGGATCAGATCCTCTTTCTGCCTCTTAACTAGCTGCATGACCTTGGACTCCATCTCTCTGGGCCTTTTTTTTTTTTTTTTTTTT